AAAAAAAAAAAAAAATGCCTTCTTTGCCGTAAGTCTCAATGCAGCATATACAAAAGTTAGGAATACAAGTAAATTCGGCAACCAGTGTAGACCAGTGAGGACGAGCTAACTCTCTTATAAACAAAGGCAGTGAGAAAGACTCGGAATTTTATCATTTATTACGAGAAAGGGGAAAAAAAGAAAACCTTGTTTTGCTTTCAAAAATATCTGTGCAGGTGGCAGATTTTTAAACGATACGAGTCAACGGTGCAGGTAAAGGACCCTCGGGCCCAGTCCTAGAGTAGACACGAGATCGCCTGGCAGGGCTGCTGGCCCCTCTAACGCTCTGGCTGTCATACTTGGGACAAGTCCCTTAACCATTAAATATATTTGGTCCCCAAAAGTGTTGGGAGAAGCCACTGGAAGGCTGCTGGCCTTCCCTGCTTGACCCCGGCAGCCTTGCTGTGGCAGAGGCAGGCTGTCCTTGGTAAAGGAGGGGAGGGGGCATTGCACTTGAGACATTTTAGAATCAGGAGGGAGACAGTGGACAGGGGCGCTGCCTGGGACAGGGCGGGGAGGAATCCACTCCTCCCCCGACCTCAGCATTCTGTGCCCTGCACAGAGGTGGAGCCCCAGGGCCTGCTCCTTCCGGACCGCCCAGAGCCACGGGAGTGGGAGGCCCAAGGGGCAGAGGTGTGTGAGGTCACCACGTGTGATTGCCAACAGCAAAGAAAGGAGGAGTGGGGGCGCTGGTGGCAGAGGTCAGGGAGGCTGACGACTGCGGGGGGTCCGACTACCAAAACGCCTTCAGTCTGAAGAAAAATAGATTCATAGAAACTCTGGCCCCTCCCCGGGGGCCTGCCCTCCTCGCCTCAACATCTTGTGCTTTTTGGCAAGAGGGGGCTGAGGAGCCTGCTGGTCGCTCTCTGCCTGGGCCCGGGCCCTGTCTCTTTGGTATCAGATTCTGAGCGGGGGAGGGAGCTGGAAGGGGATGCAGCAGAGGAAGCCAAATGCCCTCAACAACGCCTGGAGGGAAACAGGATGGGGGGACGGGGCTGAGGGCAGGGGGAGGCGCGTTCACAGCAGTCCCAAGAAGGTGGGGAGAGGCCTGCTGCAGGGTCTGGGAAGGGGAGGCTGTGGTGTCCGTCTGTCCATCCATCTCAGGCTGCAGGAGAAGAGACTTATTCGGCAGGTTTGGCCTCAGCCCCATCCGCTTTGCCATCCACCTCCTCGTCGGAACCATCGCCGGCGCCTTTCCGGGCCATTCGGCGGGGCATGACAAACGGCAGGTCCCCGCGCCTGGGGGCAGAGGCAGAGGCAGAGGCAGAGGGTCAGTGGGCGCAGACAGGCCAGGCGCGGCCGCAGCACAGCACACACATCTCAAAGCGAATTCGAGAGGGAAACCAGGCGCCTGGCTGCTCCCACCAGGAAGAAGCAAGGCGGAGCCTTGGGAGCCACAGGTGAGCTGGACAGGACCGCTCTCAGGAAAGCAGGCAAAGCTTCCCGCAAAATGTTTCGGTGTCAGACATCCTCACACACAACCGTAGCACAAAAACAGTTCAGGCAAACAGGACCAATTACAACAGGAAAGGCACAAAAGTAAGTGTAAAATGCCACCCTCTGTTGCAACTCCTATAAAACCGGTGAAACCAAGACAGGTAAACAGCTGTGCTTGTTCACACAGAGTACAAAGCCAGGCACCCTCTTTCTACCACATGGCAGAAAATTCATATCCAATACTGACTCCTTATGCTTAAAAAAAGAGCACCATGAAGGCCTGGCACAGTGGCTCACACTTGTAATTTCAGCACTTTGAGAGGCCGAAGTGGGTGGGTCACCTGAGGTCAGGAGTTTGAGACCAGCCTGACCAACATGGTGAAACCCCATCTCTACTAAAAATACAAAAATCAGCCGGGCATAGTGGTGCATGCCTGTGATCCCAGCTACTCCAGAGGCTGAGGGAGGACAATCACTTGAACCCGGGAGGAGGTTGCAGTGAGCTGAGACTGCACCATTGTACTCCAGTCTGGGCAACAAAAGTGAAAATCCATCTCAAACAAACAAACAAACAAGATCCCCATGAAAAAGAGGTAAGAAATGAGAATCTCAGAGAATAAGATCCTCTGCTTCAAACATTCACTACTTGTTGAGTGTTAACACTCCCTGGGAAATGCAAAGGAGCCTTTTTCACCTCTGTAGACATTGTTTATGAGGCCCGTATTCATTTTGTAGATATTTATGAGGCACCTAATATGTGCCAGGACTGGGCCAGGCGGCCTCAAGCAACTTCTAATTCAAAAGACAACAGACTTTTAGGACAGGCTAGGAATAAACTACCTAGAGTTTACTGTGTGTTCAAAACACTAAGCTGAAGCCTCAAAGGCAAGAAGCCAGAAGGGGCAGAGACTGCTTTGTGCTGTCCTTTCTTGGTGTCATTTGTGGTTTGCTTGTGGGCTGTGGTTGAGGAACAAGCTACCTTTTGAGAGAAGTGCCGAGGCAAAGGGGTGGGTTGGGCGGTGGGGGCTCACCTGAGCTTGTTCTTGAGGGAGCTGACCTCGCGGTTCATGGCATCGGCCGTCTCGGTGGCGTCCTCCAGCTCGCGCTGCAGTTTCCGGCGGGAGGCGTTGGCCCGCTGGGCCTCCTCTTCCGCCTCCTCCAGCTGCCGCTTGAGCTGCTTCAGGCGGGTGGATGCCTTGTCGGCCTGTGGAGATGGACGTGTGGCCCGTGGCCCTGGTTAGGGGCTCTGGGCGTGCAGCCAGCCAGCCTCACTGCCCTGCCTGTTGCCCCATCTGCTGCCCAGCCCGGCTGCCCTTCTCACTGCCCCACCAGCGCCCGCACCTGGTCCTTGTACTGCTCGGCGTTCCTCCGCTCATCATCCACCTGCAGCAGCACATCCTTCAGCTTCTTCTCCGTCCGACGCACCTGTTTGCAGGCTGCCTGGCGCTCCCTGCATGACAGACAAGGTGGCTCAGAGGGAACACCCTCCTTCAGAGGGTCCAGCCAACAAACCCTAACATGGACCACCCGTTCCCCGGGGCTCTCTGGCATCTAGGGATCACCTAGGGAGGCCTTTGCTGGACACCTATGTGTGCCTGGCTTCTTATGATGGGCACTGCAAAAAGCCCCATTTACAGATGGGGAAACGGGTGCAGGTAAGGGAAGTGACACACCTCAAAGGGCATCTGTGTAACTGGAAAAGAGGTTTGGGGGCCTACTGTAACCCCCATTCCCTCCAAGGAAGTCTCAGTCCTGCTGAGCCCACAGAACAACTGCCCCGGTGGGCAGGACCCCCCTCTACCTCCTGCTCTGATTCACCCTCAGAGACAGCCACCAAAGCTCCTGGCTTATAGAGGTGGAACAGAGAATCCCGTTCAAACCCCACAAGCTCCCCTAACCACCCAATCTGTGGAAGGGATGAGGGCCCCATCAGGACGGAGGGAAACAGCCCCCGGGACTCAGGAGACAGAGAGCTGGTTGTGGCCCAGATTTGGGCAGGACTGCAGGGGGGCTGGAGTTTTTGCCAGGACGGCTGGGGTTGGGCGGGGTCAGGGGCACGTACTTGGTCTCGTTGTCCAGCTGCTCCTCCAGCTGTGCGATCTTGGCCTCGAGGGCAGTGATGGAGGCCTTGTACTTGGACTTGACAGTGCCCTCCATCTCCTGCAGCTTGACCTTGAGCTCCTTGTTCTGGCGCTCCAGCTGCTGCCGAGCATTCTCGTTCTTCTGGGCGTGGCTGCGCTCCAGGTTCAGGTCGGTGTTGATCTGGTCGATCTACAGAAGGAGGGCCAGTGACCTCAGAAGGGAAGGGCTGGGGCCCTGGCTGGAGGGCACGAGCAGGGCCGGAGGAAGGTGGCAGCAGGATCTCACCAAACCCTTGGGGTCCAGAGTCTTGGGTCTCCCAGAAAAGGGAGGATTAGAAACTTCTGAACACCCAACACAGAAGCCAGAGGGGACTCTTTCATGTCCAGGTGCCTGGACATGTTCCCGTAAGCACCTGGGGAGCAGCTGGCACTTGGCCTGTGCTTCTGCCGGCTGGGTCTGAGGCCAGCTCTGCCGTGGTGGCTCCAGAGCCCAGGGTGGGAGAAGGCCTGGCACCCACCTGCAGGTTGGCCTTCTTCAGCCGGTCGTTGATCAGCTCCGTGTTGCCCTGCTCCTCCTCCAGCTCCTCCTCCAGCTGGGCGATGCGGGCCTCCAGACGCCGCTTCTCCTCCAACGCCAGGGCTCTGTGGGGTGGGTGGGAAAAGTGAGGGGCCTACCCTGGGGGCACACCTGGTCCCCCTCAACTCTGTCCCCTCACTCAGCTCACCCTTTGCCACTGCTGTTGGCGATCTCATCAGCCAGCTCATCCCGCTCCTGCTGGGCCTGGCGCTTGGCACGCTCCGCGGCTGCCAGTTCCTGCCACAAAGACCCAGAGTGTGACCTGAAGGCAGCCACAGTCCTGCAAGACCATCCTTCCCAGCCCCGGGCACCCTCCTCTCAAGCCCTTCCCCAGGCCCACCTCCCCCAGGAAGCCCTTCCTCCAGAAACCCTCTAGCTCACAGGGCTGGTGCCCCACTGCAGTCGTAGCTTAAGCACCATATGTTTCTAAAACTCTTACATTTAAGTGCTAGGAATCAAGCCAGGTGCCAGGGTGTGGCGATAAGAAGTGTCCTGGCCTAACCAGGGAGACCATGTGGACAGAGCTACTCGGTGCGGCCCCTCTCTATTTGGGTGAGCCAGAGCCCAGAGTCAGCTCCGGAGGCCACAGGCAGATGGCTACACCCTGGTCGCACTCGCAGCCAGCACATCACACTGCAGGGCACCCTCCAGACCCAGGAAACACTTCAGGACAGGCTCAGGTGCGACGGGTAGGGTGGCCTCCCAGACCCCTTCTCACCAGGCACCATTCATAGCAGGAGGTGGTGGCAGCCAGAAAGCCTCATCTCATGTGAGGGATGCCAGTTTCACACACACACACTCTCATTGTACCAGGGAGCCCCGCTATGTAATGGAACCCTGGAGGCAATCGTTTGTAACATGAGAGCCATCCCCAGCCAAATCCTGGAGCCCAGTCGGACCCTAGCCCTGTCCTCAACTGAAGGCCCCACGCTGCCACCTGCTGGCTGCAGGGCAGCGGTGCCGCTCTCCACTGCAGCCCCACCCACCTCCTGCAACTGGATCATCTCGGCCTCCATGCTCTTCAGCTTCTTCTCGTTCTCTTTGGCCTGGGCCAGGATCTCCTCACGGGAGGCGCGGGTGTCATCCAGCTCGCGCATGCAGTCCTTCATCTGGGCCTGGGGTGGGGACAGAGGCTTGGCACCCCACCCAGCTCCTTGGCCCTCCACCCCCACCCTCGTGGGTCACCTCGCCAGCAGGGCTCATGGCTGGTGCTCCGCTCGATGCTTTATTTAACCAACTAACCGTGGTGACAGGGCGAAAAGGCAACTAAAGGCAAACACCTCTGTGACCCACCCCATCATGCACACTTTGACAGTGCTGGTCACCGTGGACGTGAGCCCAGGCTGAGCTTCATTTTCTACTTTCTGACCCCTCCTGTGGGCCAGAAGCCGGTGCCCACGGTGCCACCCCTAAATGTGCACCTGCCCCTCAACACCAGTGCCCAGGCTGCCGGGCCGTCCCCACCACAGGCAGGAAACACCTTTCCTTTTGTTATTCTCCTGTTATTTGTTTTAACACTAAAGATCTTTGTCAAATAGCCTTTTTTTCCTTTTGCAGATAAACCCTAAATTGAGATTCCCCAAACCAAAGAGCATGACTGGCTGTGTACAGCTCGACCACACCAGTAAAAAAATGCCACCAGCAATCAGAGTATCTATGCCCACAACCTTGACCACAGAGAGGTTTTAAAGTTTTTGTGGGTTTTTTTTTTTTCACACTTAAAAAAATTTTTTTTAACTAAGGTTATTCTTGTTACATGATATGGTGTATCAGAGCTGTTTTTACGTGTTAATTATTCTTTCATTATTGGTGAGGTAAAGATTTCCAAGTACGTGTCCCGCACTCTGGGCTGCTGCTCAGAACCATCACCCCAGAGCCCAGAAGGCTGGAGGGTGTCAGCACCCGGCTGATTCTGGAAATCTGCACTAAGTGAGACCTTCTCAAACTCCACCCATGTCTAGGCTTGTACTTGTTTGCTTCTGTGTTTTATGCACTCAGTCATTCGCCGTTTTGCAAGTCTGCTGTTGGACTATCATGTTTCCACTCACCTCCGAGCCTCTGAGTCTCTGTCAGTGAGATGGGGCTGGAAGCACCCAGGACCTTCCCAGGAGGCGCCACCCTGCCAGCTTCCCGCCCTGGGCCCGGCCCCTTCACATGTAGTTGGCTGGGTCTGGCCCCGCCCGCCCTCACCTGGGTCCCGCCCGCCCTCACCTGCAGCTTCCGCAGCTGTTTGATGGCTTCCTCCCGGTTCTTGTTGGCTGAGTCGATGTGCGCCTCCAGGTCCTTCAGGTCCATCTCCAGCTTCTTCCGGGCGGCCACTGCCATCGAGCGCTGCTTCCTCTCATCCTCCAGCTCTGCCTCCATCTCCCGCACCTGGGGGAAGGAAAATCAACAGCTTGGGAAGCTGGACCCACTCAGTGACCCTGCCCTAGCTCTGAACTCAGGAGCCTCAGGCCAGTTCTGCAGGATCCATGGGGTCTTGGGGGGCCAGTGGGGATTATTGACCATAAAAACTCTAAGAAGGTGAGTCACTGAACCCCGAGACAGGGGGCTGGAAAGAAGGGATATGGGAGGGGAGGTGTGGTCAAGGGGCCCTAACATAATCCAGGTGGAAGGAAAGAACAGAAGCCTGCGTGAAGTCAGGGCAGCCTTGGGCACCCGTGGGGTAGCAGGAGGCCGTGCACACCTGTCTGACCAGCTGCTTCTTCTTCTCCTCGCTCTGCTCGTCCTTGCCCTGCAGATCCCGCTCGAACTGGGCCTTCATGGCCTGCAGGTTGACCTCCAGCCGCAGTTTGGCGTCTTCAGTGGCCTGCAGCTCGTCCTCCAGCTCTTCCAGCTGCGTCTTCATCTCCTCCACCTGCTGCTCCAGGGCCCGCTTGGACTTCTCCAGCTCGTGGACCTGAGCCCCAGAAAGCCCAAGTCAGGAGCAAAGGGACTGGCAGGTACCTGGGTCTGCGAGACCCGGAGTCTGTGCACACAGCGACCCTCTGTGATGACCCCCCTCGGGCCCCTCCCAAGAGCCTGCTGCCAGGTCCAGCACTCACGCTCTTGCCCACGTCGTCCTTGGAGCTCATGAGGTCCTCCATCTCCGTGCGGAACTGCTTGTTGAGCCGCTCCAGCTCCGCCTTCTGCTCCATGGCTTCCTCCAGGGCCCGGGCCAGCGACAGCGCCTTGGTCTCCTTCTCTCGGGCCTCCGCCTCAGCCCGGTCGCGCTCCTCTGCGTACTTGGCAGAGATGGTCTTCTCCTCTGCCAGGAGCTGGGAAAGAGGTGGGCACCATGAGGCTCAGCACCACAGGCTCAGAGCTACGGCCCCCGGCGGGGCAGAGCAGCTGGGCCTAAGCTCCCTGGGGAACGAGGAGCCCAGAGGCCACGGTGGAGAGGAGCAGATCTAGGAAGCACAGGCCCAGGGCTGTGCCCGGGACAACACACACAGTCCTGTGCATCCTCATGACAGGATGACTGCCGACTGGGGCAGGCACTGCTGCGAACGCCATGTCGTAACATCTGTTTAATTTTCATCACTTACTAATCGTAACCCTTTATGGCATGCTGCCCCTTCCATGAGAGCCCTCCAAACCTGTAAGAGCTTTGGTTCTCCTGAACCAAAGTTGGCATTTGGTTGGCATTTTTCACGGAGTGAATGCCAAGCTGGCTACCAGGAAGCCTGAACCCCATTTGTGGTCTCCTCTAACGAAAGCTTCTGTCCCCTGGCATCTGTTCTCTGTGTGCACCCACCTGGCTCTATCCTATTTCCCCAGCTTCCCTTCCTTTTGGCCCAAACCTTAATTATTCCATGGGTGGCTGACCACTTCCTAAAGGGCCAGATAGTGCATTCTTTAGAGTACGCAGGCCCTACGGTCTCTGCAGCAATGGCTCAACCCCACTACCACAGCTCAAAGCAACCAAAGACAACGCGAGAACGACGGAGTGTGGCTGTGTTCACTCCATCTTTCCCCACAAAACGCAGTGGGCTGGACCCGACTGCCGCGGTCAGCTGCCCGGTGTCTTCTACTGTTCTATCCCGCCCGAGTCCGCATCCCCCTCAGCTGCCCTCTGATATTTTGGAAAAGGAAGCGATATGAGTGCATAAATAAATCGTTTAAAAGACAGTCAAACCACTTAATTACAGAAAATCTGAAAAATGTAAAAAACCAGAAAGGAAAAGTCACTCCTCAACCCATCGCATGAAGACACCCTCTTCCACTGGCCTTCTCCCTGGGCCCCTCGACAAGCCAGAGACTGGGGGGCCTCCAAGCGCTGCCCCGCACGGCCCTCCCAGGCAAGACCTTGAGGGAGCCCAGGCTTTCTCTGACGGGCCCCTCGCCTTGGACTCAGTGCTTGAAGAAGAAATACAAAGGATGGAGCCAGTGGCCACACACCTGGTCAAACTTCTTCTGCTTCTTCTCCAGGTTGCACGCGCTCTGGCGTTGATGGTCCAGGTCCACCAGCAGGTCATCCAGCTCCTGCTGCAGCCGCGTCTTGGTCTTCTCCAGCTTGTCGTAGGCGGCCACCTTCTCCTCGTGCCGCTGGCTCAGGCCCTCCAGGTCCTTCTGGAGCTTCCTCTTCACCTCCTCAGCGGTTTCCAGGCACCCCACACTGTCCTCCATCTTCTTCTTCATGTCGGCCACCTGGGCAGGAGCCAGGAGTAAGCAGACGCCCGAGATGGCACCTGCTCAGGTGGCACACCCGTCCCTGGGGCAGCTGGGAGCCTGCCTGCCACACCATGGAAGGGGCACCAGGGATCCGCCCAGTTATGAAACCGCCTCCCCCAGTCACTTCCCTCTCCACGGGGGCGAGACAAATGGAGCTTCTGCAAAGGGGCATCCGTCTATTCTGTGAAGCCCGGGGGAGGCTGACCCCCAGGCCCGCTGTGGTGGCTCCCAGCCCTCATCCACACCAAGCCTCTCGCTCCACGGAGACCACTCCCAGAGAGCAGGGCCAGTGCCCTGTAGGGATGTCTGCGAGGTCCCCATCACCCAGCCCCATCCTTGCACTTGGAGATAAACCTGCAATCACGCACACTCACGGGCTGCTCCCACCATGACTGCGGAATGGACTCCCAGCCCACCCCGAGGTGGCTCAGCCTTCTGGCCTGGCATATGGAGGCCCAAGATAGGATCTAGAGCAGGAGCTCTGAATACATATTAGGCTACGGACCCCTTGGCAGTCTAGAGAGGCCTAGGGACTCCTTCTCATGACAATGTTTTAACAGGTATTAAATAAACATATGGGATCACCAAGGCAACCAGTACAGAAAAATGCAGTGTTCACACATTCTAAAACACCGTGGCTCAGGAAGCCACGTGCTGCTAGGTAGCACATCAGACAGCAAACTCGGCGCAGGCCCGGGAACCACGAGGCCAAGGAGCTCGGCCGCAACCCTGACACGGTAACTGGCCATTTCTACAGATGACGAGGGTGCAGGGACTGCCACCACCGTGGCTTGCTGCCTACATCCATCATGGAAGCAATGCTGAATTTCAGCTAAAGACTGGTGAAAATAAAGGCGTAAAATAGTGAAAATAGTGGTGTCCCCCATCTAAGTCCACAGACCCCTGGATTCCTCTCCTAGGGACTCAGGCTGAGAGCCCTGATGTGGGAGAGCAGGGTGGGCTTCCCTGGGGGAGAGCAGCAATGGGCTGGCCCAGTGGGCAGGGCTGTCCTGCAGTGCCCAGGCCAGTGCCCGGCCAGCAGCTCCCCAGCCTGCAGAGTCGGGCCGGTTCCCCAGCCTCCAAACCTGGGCATGGAGGGTGGCGATCTGCTTCTCCAGGTTGTGCTTGGCCTCCTCCTCCTCCTCCAGCTGCTCCCGGAAGGAATTCTTCTCGTCCTCCACCTGCTTGAGCTTGGTGCTCAGGCTCAGCTTCTGCCGGTTCTCCTCCTGCAGCAGCTCCTACTCGCAGGTTGAGAGGGGTGTGGGTGCTCAGGAGAGCGGTGTCTGAAACCCAGGAACTCCACACCCTTGAGGAGAGAGAGGAGCTGGTCCTGCTGATTTAGGGGATGGCCACGTAAAGACCTGATGGGAGCTAGGAGGACGCAGAGACCCACCCACGGGATGAAGGAGATGAAGGAGAGGATGGGCAGTCCGATGGGTTCTGGAGCTAATGTCGTGGACACAGGGGCCTTCCTGGAGGAGTCCAGCTTCTGGGAACCTGGCACCACCCTTACCTGAGTGTCCTGCAGCTGGGACTCCAGCGCGGAGAAGTCCTTGGTGAGCTTGCTGGACTTGCTGTCGGACTGGCTGAGAAGCCCGGTCACGTTGTCCAGCTCCACCTGCACCGGGCGGGGAGACGCAAAGGACCATGGACCCAGCCCCACCGCTCCTGCCCCACCTCAGCTCCTTTACGTAAAGCTGGACCTGAGTCACAAGCTGAAGCGTGAGGGTCTGAGGAGCCAGTTTGAGAAGAGAGAGAGACACAGAGCACACATGCACCCGGGGGTCTGGGCTACCACTGCTGCTGGCACCCACTGCCCGCGCCGGGATCCCAGCGGAGGCCTCACCTGCAGCTTGGTGACCTTGTCGGCCAGCTCCGTGCGCACGCGCTCTCCCTCGTTGAACTTGACCTGCAGCTCCTGCAGCTGCGCCTCCACTTTCTTGCGCTTGTGCTCCGAGTCCCCTTTGCCCTGCAGCAGCACCTTCACCTCGTTGGCCAGCTCCCCCCGCTCATTCTCCAGGGTCTGCTTTGCCTTCTCGAGGTTGGCTTTCACCTGGCGGGGAAGAAAGCAAAGACGTGAGTGGCGGCCTCCTGACACAAGGCTGGCTGGTCTGTCATCACTGGACTCGAGATCCAGACATCGCTACTTCTGCAGCCCTGACGATGGTGCGCCCGAGTCCTGGACTCCGAAGGCTCAGGCCTCATCTGTCCTGTCCTCTTCTCTCTTGGCTGGTGGGTGACACTTGGCTCCTGTCTTCACTGCTTAGGACCTCAGCTTCCCCATCTCTAAAATAATACCTGCCCAGCCTTCTGCCCTGGGTAGAGGCCAGGTTCTAGAGCACAGCACTGGTGTTGCAGATGTTAGCAATATTTATAATGCAATGAGGGGAACTCTAATTGTTTGTAGTCAGACTTCCAATAAAGCCTGTCTGAAGTCTGATGTTTAAAGTAACGACGTAATGTTTTCACCCTTACATAACTACATGAGACAGACCTATCATAATCTTCCCTTGTGAACAGGGAAACTGAGGCACAAGTCACGAAGACCCTAAGATGGGGAGCCTGGCCTCAGAACCAGGCAGTTGAGTTGGATCCTGCAGCTGCTCTGCAGGACTGATTCGGATTCTGTGGGCCCAGCACGGGGAACCCTGCCTTCCCGCTGCGGTCTCAGGGAGGCTCCGCACCCGCTTCGTCTGCTCCAGCTGCTCCGCCAGCTCCTCCACGGCCTGCGAGTGCTTCTGCCTCATCTCCTGGATCTGGGCCTCGTGGGTCTTGGCCTCCTCCTCCAAGGTCTTCTTCAGGATGTTCACCTCCTGCTCACGTTTCGACCTGGACAGAGAAATCCCCTCAGAGTGGAGGCTGGGAGCACTGGAGCGAGGCTGCCCCTGGGGCTCTTCCCTGACCAAAGAGAGGCCTGACCAGGGCACAGGCACTCCAGGCAGCTTTTCTACCCATCGGCCCCTCCTGACCATCTATCCCATGGGCCGGCCTGAAAGACGCACTGTGAGAGGCTTCTGTAGCCTTTCAGCTTTAAAGCCCGCCCTTGCCTCACCCCCAACTTTGAGTCAGGTTCTTCAACAGGCTTTCTACTCTGTAGACAGAAACCGCTGAGGAACCAGCAGCTTCCATGCCTGCTGGCGCATAACAGGGCCATGGGGCGTGCGCGCGTGTGTGTCTGTGTGTGTGTGAGAATGCGCGTGCGCGCAGAGGCCCGGGGTCCATGTCTCCAAGCCAAGGCCCCCGTGGCTGCCCTCCCCATCCCCAGGGACTTGGTCCCAGGGCACACCTGAGCTCCTGCTGGGCAGCTGTGGTATCCAGCGTGTCCTCCAACTCTGTTTTCAGTGCCTCTAGCTCTTCCCCAAGGTCCCGTTTCTGCTTCTCAGCTTTATTTCTGGAAGCACGTTCAGACTCCAGGTCTTCCTGGAGTTCCGAGATCTGAGATTCCAGCTCCCGGATCTTCTTGAGGGCCATGTTCTTCTGGGCAGCTTCCTCTTCCACTCTGCCAAAGCGACCAGCAACATCAGCATAAGGTCAGTTTCACCCCCAAGGAGCAGAGTTTGCGGGACAGGCCTGAGAGAGGTGCGGCAGCCAAAGCTGCCTCTGGTGGTCACAATCATGGCACTTAGGGTGGCTCTCAGCAGAAACAACACCTGAGGCAACCAGACTGAAGGGCAACACCCCTCTGAGAACCAGAAAACCTTATAGGGGAATTGTTTCAATTTCCAAAGTAAGATTCACTGCTTCAAATATTTTTAAAAGTCAAATGATTTGTGGCCGGGCGCGGTGGCTCACGCCTGTAATCCCAGCACTTTGGGAGGCCGAGGCGAGCGGATCACGAGGTCAGGAGATCGAGACCATCCTGGCTAACACGGTGAAACCCCGTCTCTACTAAAAACACAAAAAAATTAGCTGGGCATGGTGGCGGCTGCCTGTAGTCCCAGCTACTCGGGAGGCTGAGGCAGGAGAATGGCGTGAACCCGGGAGGTGGAGTTTGCAGTAAGCCGAGATTGCGCCACTGCACTCCAGCCTGGGTGACAGAGCGAGACTCTGTCTCAAAAAAAAAAGCCAAATGATTTGTTAAATGGGAAGAAAAGGAAATAAAATATTACACCACAGGATGACTGCAACTCAGTAAAAACACGAACGTGCTATGGACTTTAGATGGTTGTGAGGAGTCAACGTAGGTTCACCAATTAGAACAAACACACCACTGCGCTGGGGGGTGTTGGCAGCTGGGGAGGCGGTGCGTGAGTGGGGCAGCGGAAGATGGAGAAACTTCTGCTGACTCCTGCTGTGAATCTAAAACTACTCTACAAAATAAAGTTGCTTTTTTTTTTTAAACAGAGTCTCGCTCTGTCACCTAGGCTGGGGTGCAGTGGCTCACTGCAGCCTTCACCTCCTGGGTTCAAGCGATTCTCCTGCCTCAGCCTCCTGAGTAGCTGAGATTACAGTCGTGTGCCACCACACTGGTGAATTTTTTATATTTTTGGTAGGGATGGGGGCTTCACCATGTTGGCCAGGCTGGTCTCGAACTCCTGACCTCAAGTGATCCATCCGGCTTGGCCTCCCAAAGTGCTGGGATCACAGATGTGAACCAACATGCCTGGCCAAGTCTTTTTTTTTTTTTAAGTGTGGCTATAGCAAGAAATTAGGAAAGGACGGCCGGGCGCAGTGGCTCAAGCCTATAATCCCAGCACTTTGGGAGGCTGAGACGGGTGGATCACGAGGTCAGGAGATCGAGACCATCCTGGCTAACACGGTGAAACCCCGTCTCTACCAAAAAATACAAAAAACTAGCCGGGCGAGGTGGCGGCGCCTGTAGTCCCAGCTACTTGGGAGGCTGAGGCAGGAGAATGGCGTAAACCCGGGAGGCGGAGCTTGCAGTGAGCTGAGATCCGGCCACTGCACTCCAGCCTGGGCGACAGTGCGAGACTCCAATTCAAAGAAAAAAAAAAACAAATTAGGAAAGGACTATTGTAGGTGGGTGATAGAGTTGTGGATGACTTTTTTTCAAATTATAAACAAATAAACAAAAGACAAATGAGGCCCCTCCCCATGCCCTGAGTGCACAAGAACTGCTTTGCTATGAAATAAGCGGCTCTTCTAAGACAAAAGTGGAAAGAATGCTCACAGCTCTCTGGTGCAGAGAACTAGGGCCAGCAGCAAGCAGGAAGGGCTGGCCCAGGCCACCTGGCCTCAGGCAGGGTCCTCACCTGGCCAGGGCGGCCTGGAGCTCCTCCTCTTTCTTGGCCAGCTGCATCTTGAGCTCCGCGATCTGCGCCTGGAGCTCGGCGATCTGGTCGCTGAGGTCCGTGGAGTCTCCCTCCAGCTTCCGGCGGGTCTTCTCCAGCTCCTGTCGCTGCTTCTCCTCCCTGCGGAGGCGCTCTGCAAGGAGCGGGGAGCCCACATAGCCCTCAGTGCCGTGGGTTCTGTCTCCGTGTCAATTACTTACACAAAATACTGAGCACTCGTTATGAAACGTGTGTCAGGCTGAAAGCATCACAAATACACAGACACTCGCACCCAACTCCTGCACGCAGCAAGAGGATATCACCGCAAACTGCCAGCCCCTGGCGTGTCTCTCTCCAACTCACCCCTCGTCCTTCCCTGCCAGGAGTTAAGTGCTCTCCTAAAGCTGGTGTTCGTAACCCCCTTGGTTCCCTTGAAGGCTGTACCATGTCTGTATCTCTAAAAAACATGTTCAATTTTGTGCGAATCTCAACTTATAAGATGGAACTGCCTTGTGTGAATTCCACAGTTGGAATCACAGAGTCAGGGCTCGGTATCTAGCTTTATAACTCTGTGATGTCACTCGGGAAAGCTACTTTCTATACCTCGTCTGAATAATAAACAAAAGGAGATGGCCTACTTCATTAGGATGGTGTGAGGCGCCAATGAGTTACTATCTTAAAAAGCACCTAGAACAGTGCCTGGCTGGTGATGTTTATTCCCTGCCATGCCTTTGCCGCCCCATCCCATGGTCTTGAGATGTAGCCCGTGAAGTTTTGCTGGAATAGATGTGTATGGACATTTATCTAGCATTCCATGATGTGAATACACCGCAACTTATTTATGTACCCGTCCTGCAGCTGGCAGGCATGGGGCTGTGTTCATCGCACACTCTGATACACAACGCTGCTGCAAGCATCCTGCTCACTCTCAGCGCAGACGGCTGAGTGATGGATGGAACGGCCGGGTCACCAGCATGCCAAGCTTCAACCTCACTAGGACTGCTGGATCGTTCTCTAATGCCGTCTACCAGTCTGCAGTCCCAGCAGCAGCGTGTGTGTGCTCTGACGGCTCCGTGTCTGTGTTAGCGCTTATTAGTGTCAACCTTTCATGTCTGTCCATCTGGTGGGCGCCACCCCTAGACCTCCTGGATGACCAAGTCTTCCGCGCTCTTCCCAGGTGAGGGAGGGTATCTGTGGGCTAAGAGATCTGTCTGTGTCCAGACCTGTCTTCCGCTGGACCTGACTCACCTCATCCCCTGCAGATGTGAGGGGGCTGGACAAGGCTGTGACACCAAGCCGGGGAAAATCCTCCCGGCAGTCAGGCTGTGGCCTCCCTCCCCTGGGTATGAGCTCAGAGTTCCCACAGCAGTCAGGGTTGTCCTGTTCCCCCAGTTGTCCACTTCCCTCAAGGGGCAGGGCCGAGGGTCCTCAGACAACCACGGACCTGTGCTTCTACCCCAGCGCCCCCTCCCTGCCACAGATCCCCAGGGCACACAGAGACAAGGCAGGATTTGTCACCCTGCCCCAAGTCAAGCAATGAGCTTCCGCAGTGACTGTCGAGGACTTTACGGTACATATGTGTTCACATGTATTTAATGAAATGTTCACAGTATCCTAGCACTGTGTCCCCTTTTTAGGTAAAACTAAAGCTCATGGAGCTTAAGTCACAGGTGTAAGATGAGCCAGCTAGTCAGTGACAGAGCTAGTGAGTCCTGTGGGCCAAACCCAGAGCCTCCTAGGCAGTCTCAGAAGCTTCCAAAACCCACGGCACACGACAACGGGGCAGCACCAAAGCTCTCCTTTAAACACACTTCATGCAGGGGGGCAACTAGCCACAGAACAACAGGGGCCTGGAGGCTCAGGCTCCCGCAGGCACCAGACACGGCTCCCCTCGACCTGTGACCTCAGGTCTGAAGGGCAGCAGCCAGTGCTGTAGTGTGGCCCAGGCTCACCCGTGAGCTGAGGAGGCCTCGGTGTTGCGGTCAGACAGGCCAGCCCCTGCCCGCCAGCCCCTGCCCATCACCTCCTGCCCGTCACCCTCTCACCTTCCAAGTCGGTGATCATTGCCTCATGCTTGTTCTTGAGCTTGGCGAGGCTCTTAGATTTCTCCTCCTCTTCCGTGAGGTTGGTGGTGAACTCAGCTATCCTGTCTTCCAGCAGTTTCTTTTCCTGGGGAGAGGGGAGTAGGCCGGCATTTAGTGTCGGTTGAGCAGAGAACACTAGCCTCAAAGCATGACTCGCCCGGAAATTTGGGGCTGAATGGAGAGGGCTTTAGACACTTGATCAAGTTCATGAGGATTTTCCTGGATCAAAGGATAATTTTGAAAGATCACCAGCTTCCCTGAAATAGCGAGGTATATGCTTCCTCAGGATCGAAAAATGTGGGTGCCCAAGCCCTTCCCCTTCCCCTATGGGCTTGGGTGAGAAAGGCTTCCAGGTGACAGCTAGTGTCAGCAGAGACAGATGGCTCCACTCCTTCAGGAGGCTGCCATACGGCGCTCACCTGCGCCACCAGGCCACCTTCTCCGTGCCCCTCTCTCACCTGCCAGGTGGACCACGGCCCCTCCCCCTCTTTAGCCCCGCAGTACCCGGGCTGCTGTCCTTGCTTTCTGTTCTGTGTGGCCCCCGCAACAGCCCTGCCCAGGGGCCACAGCTTGGCACAAGCGCCTCAGTCCTCTCATCCCAGTCCCGGGCGGATATCCTGCCACCTCAGCCTCCCCAGCCTTTGGGGCTCCCGTGGTCTGAGGAGTCCCAAAAGGTGGGGAGGCTGCCTTCTCCTCTAACTGGTTCCCCGGCTGCTATCTGCTCCCTGGGCAGACACTGACAGGGACCAACTCATTCTCAGGAGGAACAGCTGCCGCCCAGGGACAGTGGAGGAGGAGTACCCTGCATCTCAACAGAGAGCCACCAAAGTGTCCCCAACCCCACAGTGACCAACGCCTGCAATGCTGCACAGATGGCCACCTTTACAAAGGCTTGGGTCTCACGGGTGGCAAAGAAGAGCTTTCCAGAGGGGAAAGGACAAACCCTTCCCCAGGGCCCCTTCGTTTATAAGGAAATCCCTCAACGAAGGCCCATGGGACCTCCAGGGAGCACCTGCAGTGAGGCAGAAGCCCTCGTGCTGCAGGCGGAAGAGCCAGGAAGCAGCAGCGGCAGGGCTGGGGCCCGGCCCGGCAAGGGTGACCACACGCTCCCATCCACGGCCCCCCTGGAGCAGCTGCAGGCGGCAGCCGCGGGCCTCACCTTGGCCAGCTTGCAGTTCTGGTCCTCCAGGATGATCTGCTCCTCCTCCAGCTTCTTCAGCTTCGCCTCAGTGGTCACCTTCTCCAGCTGCAGCTTCTGCCGGGCGCTCTCCTCCTCCTCCAGCTGCTCCTCAAGCTCCTGCCGGGGGCCAGAGACACGGTGAGGACAGCAGGCCCAGGGTCATGGCCAAGGTGAAGACGGCAAGGTCCGAAGGTCAGGTCCGAACACCAAGGAGAGGATACGAAGGTCTGTGAGCCCAGGGTCATGGCTGAGGTGGGGACAGCAAGGTCTGCAAGCCCAGGGCCACAGCCGAGGCAGGGCCCAAGCCCTATTTGTAGGATTCCAGATTTCAAACTGGGACACGGGGCCAGAACACCGGTGCAATGTTCTGAAGGGTTTCCTGCAGCAAGCTCCCACCCATGAAACACGCAGGATGCAGAGCTGCTGGCCCTGTGCCTCTCTGGCTAGCCAGGGCCAGGGCTAATGGCAGGGAAATCAAACTGGCCTTGATGCCGGCCCAGGCAGTACTCATGGAGAGATCTCAGATGCACATGTCACAAACTACCAGCCCAAAGGGAACACCTCTCACTGAGTGCCCCAAGCAGACAGCGTGAGGAGCGGCCTCCTCGGACCCTAATTCCATGTTCTCCCAGCTCCTGGTCCCTGCTTCTCTGCCCTGCCCCGCCCCTCCAGTCCCACTCCTCCCCGGGTGCAGCAGGCAGGAACCTGGATGTTCTGCTGCATCTTCTTCTTCTCTGTCTGCAGGTGCTGGCAGCGCTCCTCCTCCTCCTCCACCCTGGCCTCCAGGTCATGGCAGATCTCTTCTAGTTCCTGCTTCTTGGCGGTCAGGCGGGCCCGGAGCTCCTCAGCCTCGGCACACAGCTCGGTCTCTGCCTGGAGCTGCTCCTGCAGCTGTAATTTCTCTGCCATGAGCTGCAAACAGCAAGTGGAAAACACAAGCTCCTCGCAACACCCGCAAGTCACTCCATCCTCAAAAGATGGACGCCGTGGCTCAGGATCCCAGCAGGAAAGGAACATGCGGACAAGAGTAGCTTTCATCTGGAGAGCTCTGAAGCTTCCAGGCACCTTCCAGACATCGTGTCCTTGATTTTTCACTACCCCATGAGCTCCACAGAAAGGTCCCGGGAAACGGGCTCGGGTCATGTGGTAGAGCTGAGGTTTGAACCCAACACTGGTGAACGTTCCATTCTATTAGGTGGACTCCCTACATCACATAACCCCAAATCCGGTCGGCAGAGAGACTGGTCACTGTTCCTACAGTAATAGGAAACTCAGTCGTAGGAAACCCCTATGGTAATAGAAGCTGCCAGCATGCCGTGCCTACCGATGGCCAGTAGGTGGCAGCACCAGGCAGGTCACGCAACCTGGACGGAGCCTGCGCTGACACCCACCTGCGACTGCAGCGTCTCCATCTCCGTGAGCCTGTTCTCCGCAGCCAGCTGCTTCTCTCGGACCTTCACCAGCTCCTCCTCCTTGGCCATCATCTCCTCCTCCTGCCGGCTCACCTGCAGCAGCGGCTTGACCTGGGAGAGGAGATGGAGGTAGAGACATGCTTGGCTGGAAGATGCCCGCCTCTGCCAACAGGTGTGAGGCCTCTCCCTTACCTCTGGAAACATGAAAGTGAGGGGCAAGAAGACATGCTGTGGTGGGGGCTACAGCCTTCCTGGAAATCCATCTGGTGCTCTGTACCACGGGCCTCTGACCTGCTAACTACATTCCAGGGAAACTATCCCTGCGTGCGTGTGAAGATGTTCACCTCGGCATTGTTTGTAACAGCAAGAAAATGAGGAAGGACCCATCTCTGAAAAAGTACCCAGATAATGATGTGGCCCCTAGGGAACAGTACGCTACCTCTAAAAAAACGATGCTTATGAAGGAATCGTAAATGGAACGTACACACTACAATACTGTTTATGTGAGTCAAACTCAGCTATGGAAGAATGCATACTGTTTACATAGCTGAGGTTTTATAGGCAGTGAGAAAAAGAGCGAGAGAATAAACACTAAAATAGCTGCTGCTGCTGGTTTAGGGTAAGGGTTTATGTGTGAATTTTTATTTAATTCTTTAGACTTTTCGTTAGTTGGCTTTTTGCCATTACCATAAATTATGGATTATACACAAAAGCAGCCCGGACAAGTTTAAAAATAACGAGTTTTTTTTTTTTTTTAAGGCCAGGAAGGCCAGCCTGGGCAAGAGAGTGAGACCTTGTCTCTACTAAAAATCAAAAAGGGCCGGGCACAGTGGCTCATGCCTGTAATTCCAGCACTTTGGGTGGCTGAGGTAGGAGGACTGCTGGAGCCCAAGAGTTTGTGACCAACCTGGGCAACATAGTGAGACCACACCTCTACAAAAATTACAAAACATGAGCCAGGTATGTATGGTGGTGTGCACCTGTAGTCCCAGCTACTCAGGAGGCCTTTCTAGCACGCACCTTGGTGAAGAGCCGCCACCACTGCCAGTTCCGCAGCTTGAGGTAGGCAGCGCAGTTCCGCTGGAGGACCTTCATGGCGGTCAGCTGCTGCTGCCGCTTGGCAAACGCTCTGTGGGGTGAGGAACATGGTCAGTGCGGGGCAGTGGACAGCAGACCCAACCTAACAGTCCTGGCCTTGTCCTCAAGGCTTTTCTGGGGGTCTACCCTTGCCTGGGGTACCTCAAAAAAGAAATTCAGGGAAGGGGCCTGGCCTTGGGGTTGAGATATGTTTCTCCCACTTACAGGCTGTGTGACCCCATGAGGCTCTAATCTTACAGTGGGCGAAGGACCTAAGTCACCAGACTACCCCTCCACTGAGGAGCCCACGGGGTGAAGGCTCCTGTGAAGTAACCACAGATCTCACTCAGCGTGGGGACTGAGCATGACCCTTGGTCATTAAGCCGATTGGCCCTGGGTGACTCTGGACTTCAGCTTCCCACCCTTCGTGCTGTTCCTTATCTGAGCTTTTGTTTGGTGGGAGAACGTCAGGAGCTGATGTTCTGTGAAGGTGGGCTGCGGGTGTCAGCGGGAGGGCTTTTGGATAAACAAGCCTCCATCTGTGCAAATGCCACACGCTCGGGCTTCATCTCCCAGAGCTCGGCGCTCCTGCTAGGACCCTCAGCCCCGAGCACAAGGGGATGAGTGTGCAGTGCCCACACCCGCTGTCCTGCAGCAGGGGAGCCCTCACTCCCCAGGGAGTCAAGGATGAGTCTGGACTCAAGGATGGTCTGCTCCCCTGGAATCACAGGGTTCTTTAGGGCAGGCTCTGGGTGCTGTCCCCACAAGGGTCACACGGTGAGGAGTCCTGGTAAGCAGGATCTTTCAGGCAGGTAAATCCAAGCAGAGTCAGCCTCTTCCCACCCATCACTCTAAACCTCAATCAGAAATGCCCGATTCAGCCAGGCGCAGTGGCTCGCGCCTGTAATCCCAGCACTGTGGGAGGCTGAGGTGGGTAGATCACTTGAGGTCAGGAATTTGAGACCGGCCTGGCCAACATGGCGAAACCCTATCTCTACTAAAAACACAAAAATTAGCTGGGTGTGGTGGTGTGCACCTGTAACCTCAGCTACTAGTGAGGCTGAGGCAGGAGAATCACTTGAACCTGGGAGGTGGAGGTTGCAGTGAGCCAAGAACGTGCCACAGCACTTCAGCCTGGGCGGCAGGGTGAGGCTCCATCTCAAAAAAAAAAAAGAAAAAAAAAAGAACTGCCCGATTCTACTCTTCAAAGGTAGAAATCCAGGAATGGGGTCAGGAAGAGCCACGTGGGCCTCCCTGACAGGCATGTGACCAGCTGCAGTGGGGTGTCCTAGACCACGGCCTGCTAAGTGCTCTTTGGCAACAAAGGGCGTGGTAAGGCCTGGTGTGTGGGGCAGGAGTATCTCCCGGGACTCACTTCCTGGCCAGGTAGCCCCTGCAGCAGGCCTGGAACCCTATGATGACGTCAGTGATCTTCAGGTCCCGCTCCTCCTCCAGGTGGGCCAGCACGCCGGCGCGGAAGAAGACTTTGCTCTGGCCAATGCGGTACAGGTTGCTGTCGAGCTCCAAGGCTTTTATCTAGGTGAGAGGAGTAGGCTGTTTACCTGGCCAGCAACTGGCCACGGCTCCGTGAAAGGGTGGCCCAGGCACAGCTGGAGGCGTGTCCTTCACCCTTCTTCCTACTGGCTGACGAGCATCTGGAGAGCAGAAAGCCATCTCCTCTCCCTCCTTCTTCCTGTTCCCCATCTCCCTGTCACCAAATGCAGGTTTTGCACACAGTAGGTGTTGAATTTTTCCTTCTCTTTTCCTCCCACCAACTCCCCACTTTGCAGCCAACGCTTTCTGATTCTTTAGAAAGAACGTGAAGTAAAATGAGGCCAAAGGTAGCGGCTGTTAACCTGGACACGCCAGAAACAGGATGCTGGGAAAGGGAACACAGGAGCAGGGTGGGATTTAGCCCTGACTTGGTACTGAGCCACTGCAGGGCCTTCATTCAACCGGAACGCAAAGCATGCGCACGGCACATCCAGCACTGTGCTAGGACTGAGAGTGGGGAAGGAGGCAGGAGAAGCCCAGATTATGGCGCACCAGGCCAGCTGCCCTGGCTGTGAGCTGCCCTGCTCACCACAATGGGCGTGGAGTCAGACCCATGAGCAAGAAAGCAGGAGAATGTCCCCCAAATGAAAGAGGCCATCATCTTACATCAGAGCCTGGCCATGGCTACAGTTCTTGTCTCCTCCACACCACCCTGGTGCCAAACACCATCCCTGGCTATCTGAGGCCGAGGGGCTGCTGCAAAGGGCGCCCGGCAGAGTCAGACGCAGAGCATCAGAAGGGACACAGCCTGGGCACCCACCGACCACTGACACAGTAAGGCGGGCCCTGGCCATGTGGGCGCTCCCCAGACAAGGGGCTGCCCATCCAGAGAGGCAGGGACAGCAGCTCAACTCACCATGAGCACGCACGCCTGTTTCCCATCCATGAAGCCCTTGGGAATGGAGTTTGGAGTCAGGATCTCATATCTGAGGAAGGAAAGAGAAGTCTGGTCATTTTACCCATTGCCTCGATTCCACGTGCCTGGAATATAGGCAAGAGATTAAGATCATTTTTACAGTGCAACAGACACAGAATTCTTTACACAAACTCTCCTAAGGAAAGAAGACACAGGCAAATCCCACCCCGCTCTTTTCTTCGGCTGAATGACACAAGGAAGACTTAATGTTTTCCGGAAAGTGAATGGAAACTCGTGTAGGACTGTTTCAATCACTCGAGGGTGTGCTCCAGGTTGGGCTCACTAACTGCTAATTGCCTGGGATCCTCGGCTGTCACCCACGGACAGCCATGCTCACATAGCTTCCCTGGGATGATGCAGGGAGCTGATAATAAACAGAGATGCCCCAAGAAATAAAGGGCTGCATGCCGACAGCAACTGGCACTCAGCACAGTCATTAGAGAAATAGGAAGATGTTGCCATCTTTGCACATAGCAACGCACGGCCGTGTTTTATGACTTTCATTTCTACAAAGTTTCTGTAATATCCCAGGTCTCTGGCTGATTCTTTTACATTTCTTTTCATAGCTCCTCTAACTGTAGCAAATAGCACCAGGGCCGGCAGTGACTAGGGGCAAAAGTCAACAGGATGACGATGACCTGCATTTCGGTATTAAAATGGGGAGTCTCCTTTCCTGCAAAGGGTGGAAAAGAGAAGGCGGTGGGGAAGAGCTGGCCAGACTCAGTTCTACACGGATGGAGGACGTCGTTCCTTCACGACAGGACCCAGCCAGGGAGCAGCAGCCCACCTCTGGGACTCACTGCGCGCACAGCCGGGTCCAGGAGAAGCGGGCTCCGGGCCCTGGCTCACCTCTGCCGAAACTCCTGGAAGACCACCCTGTTGGGGAAGCCCTGGCGGCAGATGCGGATGCCCTCGAGGACGCCGTTGCAGCGCAGCTGGTCCAGCACAAGATGCGGGTCCAGCTTGCCGGCCTGGGGAAGAAAACACACGCATGTGGTCTCACTTCTGTGCCTAAAACAGTCAGAGAGAGGTCGGGGAAGCCCTAGGAACCTGACAGGGCAAGAGCCTAAGGGAGGGGGTCGCTGCAGCCCACAGGTTTTGACAGTGAAGTCAAAGGATCCAGGTCTGGGAGGGGCCGGTGTCACCAAGAGGAAGTGTGGGCTGTGAATGGAGAGTATCTCCTAATCGAGCCAAGGCCCTCCCTGCAGAGAAACGACGGAGGGCTTTGTGCAGGCTGGGGGGCTGGAGGGGTGCTTTTGTTGGGGAGACAGACGGGCTGAGCGCCCCACACCACGGTGCCCCGCCCGGGCCACCCCACCAGGCGGCCGCACCTTCTTCTC